AGCAGTCACCCACGGGGAATGGTAACCGCTTGGTACTGGTTGACCGCTTTAATACAGGTTCCACAGAAAAGGAACACTATAATAAACGCCGTTATATGCCATAACTAACCTCTTGATGTACAAAAACTCGCTCAAAGACATTAAAAAAATTGATTTCGGGAGAGAAATATGGATCAAATTTTAGTTGAAATAATATTCTTAGTTTTATTTGAGTAGTTCCGCTTTAGTGATCGTTCAACACAGGTGGAGGATAATGAAAGCAGGCCGTTGTGACTTACTCTAAGGTGACCACGACCGCTTAAGAGAGGTGACCGCTTAAAGACGTAAAAATTACAGTGATCAAAGGGAAACAAATTCGGGTCTTCGACAACCGACCGCTTAATACAGGGTGACCGTTTAATACTTTGCTGCTTAATACAGGTTGGATTGTAATTTGTTCAATCCTTGGACCAGAACAACATGCGCCACGCGCCCACGCGCCTTCGCGCTCACACGTCCTGATTCTCGGTAGTTACGTTGGGGAACAAAGCCACCTTGACACATATAAGTGGTTGACTAAATCCACCTATCCAAAAAAACAAACGTAACTCAATAATTGATTGCGTCAAACATTACATCGGTAAAAGGTCTACCTCAAACTATCGTTACCACTACCGAGCCTATTTTCACAGATCCCACGTAGGAAATTAGAGATTACGAGAGGTTGCGACAGAACGTTAGCGCGAACCTCTATTACAAGTCGTCGCCGTTTGTCACTTACCCTTCACGTCAAAGATGTACGAATGAGTCAAAGTACCAAATGAGTTTTTCACAACGCACGTGTAATTTCCTCCGTCTGCGACATCCACCCCGTTAAAATGTATATTATAGTGATAATGCCCTGGTGTTATCGTTTCGTCAGATCTGTGACCACGATATATTTCTTTACCCCTGTACCACGTGACCGTCGGAGTTGGTGTTCCTTTGGCGTCACATAGTAGTTGGAATTTTTCTCCCTCCGTATATTCTGATTTTGCCTCCGCCATTTTGTCTGGATACAGAAAGTGGGGCTTCACAGCTGTAAAAAGTGACAAATAAAAATAAGTAAAATCGAAGTAGCGCGACTAGTTATTATTTCTCGCCTAACCGGGGGTAGGGGGGGGAAGGGGGGAAAGGGGGCTTCGGAGGATTTTGGGGGGATTACATGGTTTTCCAAGAGAACGGCGAGGGGATCAGTCGTCACCAACAGGGTACAAAGGAGGTGGTAAAGGAAATTGACGCGCGCCTGTGTGACCCGACTCAAGCCTCCCGCACTTTCCAGTGTGGCCCGACCCAGCCTCCCGCGCTTTTTCGGTGTGACCTGACTCAAACCTCCCGCGTTTTTTTAGTGTGACCCGACCCAAGCCTCCTACGCTTTTTCACTCCGCTACCACGACCTCCATTCGCGCCGTTGCCTATTTCACTCCGATTTACCAACTGGACGCCTTGAGCAAGGTAAAAAATAGGGTGGATCACACATACAAAAATACATATGAGATAATTATGAGCTATTAAGTTTAATAACATATCAATTAACTGTACCTCCTGAGACATTTGTAGATGAAACCGTTGGATCTGAGCAAAGAAAAAACATCTTGAATATATTATATCTATCCTCTATCAAGGAAAAACCTCCACTGTCACAAAAAATATTTAGCATATAACCTATTCAGACGTTGATTTGTTTTTCATACCCTTTAGTTCCTAATTTTTCAACTTACTTGGCCGGAATAAATTTTCAAATAATACGATTTTCCGATAACTCTGCCCTTAGATGTAAAGTGCACCACTTTTGTAACCTTTTGTCTCTGAAGTAATATTTCGTTGGAGAATGCTGAAAAAAGTCGTAACTAAAGTATGGATGGGTGTATCAATGTTTTGTTTGCGTTATGTTAAAATTTCAAAAGAATTAACGCATTTTACTGTTTTTTTTTTTCAAACGTGAAATGTAACCTTTGTGGCACTCGTTGGGGTAAGGATGCATTTTAGAGGGTGATCGGCGTATTCCACAGCAATTAATCGATAGATCGATTGCTAATACACACCACTAAGTTCTCTCTACTACCCTCACAATTTACAAACCAATTTTATGAACGTTTGAAAAAATCAGGTGAATGTATATGCCCTTTCATCCGTGGTCAAGATTGACAATTCAATTTAAGCCCTTGATATGGAGTTTTGAACTTGACAAGTCCACTATGACTATGCTATTCAACATTTACGGCTAAAACTTTTGTGACATATAGTTCCATGTCAATTATTTATGCTTGCAAAGTTTCAGATTTTTAGCTTTTTTTGTTATCCTTGGCAACCATTTGACCAACATACACCCTTGACTGTACTGCGGGTTACAAGAGTGCCACTTTCGCTAGATTTTTCTCAAAGGGAAATTCCCATTTAAAAGCGTCGAAATTAAATAAATTTTGGTACAAAAAATGGCCCTGCGCTATGCTTACTGTTACACTCATTTTAAGTTGGTGGATTTAATTTTCTAGTGCTGGGATCAACCAAGTTGATCAATTAAAATTTAATACAAACCACAGTTAAACCATACGAGTACATACACTTTATTAGGTAGACAGTAGGTGTCAAAATTAATTTTCACCAATGCTTTTGAACGTGAGAACCTTAGAAAATGTAGAAATTGTTGTTTCTTTCATGAAGATTGTGTATTCAGTAGATTGATGTATTTTATTCCTCTCACGGTCCCCATCTATACCGTTCGTTAAATTGTGTTCCTTCTTTTTCGGTCGTTTGGGATATCGCGCTATAACAGAAAGGGAATATTAAGCTGGCTAACAGCAAATTAAGCTCGCTAATTTGAAAAGGAGTAGATGGGCAATCTTTAAATGGTAGGAAAAAAAACATGATTTTAAGCGACTTCTATGTAGTACGATAGTATGGTTTCCAGCCTGTATAGTTTTGGAAACCTTTTTTTTATCCCCCATCTAATACACACTACCACGTGGATCCGCCAACCTCTCCCATTTTAGGTGACTTTATTTCATTATTCCTAACCCTGTCCCTCGCCTGAGGGAGAGTCTGATAATCGCTTTATCTAGGCCTCATTTCATTTCAATAATCAGAGCACGGTTTCGACTTGTAGTACAGGCATCGTCCATTCCAAAGAGCGTGATTACAAATGAAATGTTTAAAGTTGAATCACACGTTTGCGAAACTAACGGGATATAAGCTATCCTACTTCACGCTCACTTTTGCAGTTTCTTATTTAGCGATGGATTATTGGTAAAGATGGATCGCTTAGTTTGGATTTACTTGTGCTCGGTTCAAGCTGCGAGATAACCTTACACTACACAATGACTCTTTAATCTGATTTCAGCACGGAAAAACGGTATTACCTTTCAACTGGGCATAGTTCAACTACATTTGTTCTTGTAGGATACATAAAAATAACCTCAAAGATTAGGGTGTAATCTTCACTGCCTAAAGTTTCATGTTTTATTAACACATCAACACAACTTAAGTAAAGCGCCCCTCTATTAGTCACTTCAGCGTCTACTATTTGCTCATGGGTGACCGCTGATGATTGCCTTCCGTATGAGCAGGCGCGCTGATATGGCGCGACATAGCGCAAACGTTCGAAGTCGAAAAATGAAAATTCTGCTAATTCACGAGTTTTTTATACTTTACTTCGATTTCCTTGTGAAATTGAATAGCTACTTATAAAGAATAGACCCCTGTGATGCTGAAAAATTGGAACTCTATGATACGTCCCATAATATTTCAAAGCTTGATTCCTTTCAAGTTTTTGTCAAGGATTGCGTAAGAACTACACGCGTTAAACTTAAAAACCTGTGCTATAGAACAAATGGTGCCAGAGCCTACGCTATTGAGTTATGGACGCACCAGGGAGATTTGCGAAGCACTTAAGAATCTAAGTCGCTCTCGGCTATCGCCTAATGGCTTTATGAGAAACTGTGAGAAAAACGATGAAGAGCTGGGAACAAGAAAGGCAGTCGATGAGTCCAATGAAAGTGAACTCGTAACAGCTGACTCCCTAGGTACAGAACGAGCTCCCTGGAAAGAAGAGTCGTTACAAGCACTGTAAAATTTATTTGCAGAAGAAGTATCGTTGCAAAGTGTCACCATGTCTTTGATTCGAGAAAAAATCCAGTCTGACCCGATATTGTGCAAAGAAAGTCCAAAAAGAGTATAAGACAGG